ACAACATAGAATGCATTCAAAATAGACTTTGCTTTCCCTACAACCTCTGGGGTCCCCTTTGTGAAGACCAGAAGGTCATCAGCAAAGCACATATGGGAAAGCCCTATTCTGTGGGTTTGAGGGTGGGGAGGAAGAGATTTAATGGCATAAGCCCTATTGAACATACAAGAGAGGAGTTCCATAGCAATAGTAATAAGATAAGGGGAGAGGGGATCCCCTTGTCTTAGCCCCTTTTGAGCAGAAAAATAACCAACTAACCCCCCATTGAAGCAAACACTCAACTTTGTACTGTGAAGACAAACTTCAATCCATTTTATGAACTGATGAGGTATTTTCATAGCTTCCATTACTGTTTTTAAGTACCACCAATCTACACTATCGAAAGCCTTCATCACATCAACTTTCAGGGCACATCTGGGAGATATAGTTTTCCTATTATATAGCCTCACCATCTCATGGGCCAGTAGAACATTATCACTAATCAATCTCCCCTTAATGAAAGCAGATTGATTCTAACTAATGATAACAGGAAGCACTTCCCTAAGTCTATTTGCAAGAACTTTAGCAATACACTTATACAGTATATTGCAACATGATATTGGCCTAAATTGCTTCATACAATCAGCATTCTGCACTTTAGGAATTAGAGCCAGGTAAGTAGAGTTTACCTCTGAGAGAAGTCTCCCTGTTCTGAAAAAGTCCAAGATTGCATCAGTGATTTCCATTCCCAAGATCTCCCAGTTATGTTGGAAAAATCTAGCTGTGAAGCCATCTGGACCAGGAGATTTATCTCCATTCATAGAAAAAAGAGTTGTTTTCACTTCTTCTCTGGTGAATGGAGAACAAAGAGGATCAACTTGCTTGGGGGTGAGAAAATGGACCAGAAGTTGGGAGATCAGCTCACTACTTAACATCTGAATTCTTGGTGCCCAGCAGATTCTGGTAGAATCTAACTGCTTCCCCACTCATCTCCTTAGCATCAGTTAGAGCAGTCCCATCTTCTGAAATAAGCTTTTTAATAGTTGAGCGAGCTTGACGAGACTTAACAGAGTTATGGAAGAAGGAAGTGTTTAAGTCCCCTGTTTTCACCCAAAGCTGTCGAGACTTTTGTCTATATATAGCCTCTTCCTCTTTAAGGAGGTCAAATAATCGAGCCTGACATTCATTGACTTTTTGGAAAGTCTCAAGGGAAGGCTGCTGAAGAGCCCCTATCTGCAATCCTTCTATTTCACAACGAACAATCCGAACCCTTTCTGAAATTTCTGAGTAGGAGGATCGATTCAACTTTTTCAACTGTCTCTTAACCTCTTTCAACTTCTGACAAACTACAAACATAGGAGTCCCTCTGACTCTCGTACTCCAGGCTTCTTTGACAATCTCAGTATATTGAGGATGAGTCTCCCAGCAGTTAAAATACTTGAAAGGCTTAGGTAGAGAAGTTATCTGGATATCAGTATTCATTAGCAAACCACAATGGTCTGAAAGCCTTGGGGGAAGAAGGTTAACTGCATAATTGGGAAATACAAACAACCATATAGAATTCACAAGGACCCTATCTATCCTTCTAGCAATAGGATTCTCCTCTTGTTTATTGGTCCAAGAGAACCAAGGGCCCTCAAAAGCACTTTCCTCCAATTCCATTCGGATTATCCAGTCATCAAAAATCGACCATACTCTGCGAAGTAACTGGATTATTTGAAGCCTCAGCAACACTTCTAACTGCATTGAAGTCACCTAACACTATCCAAGGCAGGTTGTTGTCAGGATGTAGAACAGGATGATGGAATAGACTTCGCCTAGTCCCTTCATCATTTGATCCATACACAAAAGTGATCCTAATAGGGTGTTCACCCCGGAGCTCTCCATGTACAAATTGCTCTGACTTCTCCAACACAGTAAAATCTAAATCCCTTTTCCAGAAGATCCACAATCTCCCTAAAGCTGAGTGTTCATAGTTATGAACCCACTCCCCTCTACCAAACTTCAGGTCTACTATGTCCTTAGACTTTTCTTTCTTCACCCTTGTTTCAAGAATTCAAAAAACATCCACATTCTCTCGACTGACTACCTCTAGAATCTGACTCTGCTTGTTGGGGTGATTAAATCCCCTAATGTTCCAAGCTAGCACCTTCATTTCTTAGGTTTGGGTTTAGCAGGCCTGCCTGGCCCCTTTTTACCTTGCTTACCTTTCCCTTTTCCACCACCTTCTAATACAGGGAATTCATCCAGATTATGGAGAACTGGACTACTTACCACAATATTCCCAACCTCAAAAGAATCCACAGCTAGACTCTGGTATCTGTTAGCTACAGGTGTGATAGAACTCCCCCTTGCAGAAGGAGAGCTTTGCTCTGTCATGGCTGTCTGAAGTTCGCCCTCAGTTGGCAACACCACAGTCCCTGACCTATGCCATTCAGATATGACCCCCTGCTCAATTGATTTAACCAGGTTGGCCACAGCCAGATTCAAGTTGCGGCAGGCAACCTCAGCAGACTCCTGAGCTTTGTCCTTCGAAGCCTGGATCGAATCCAGAATCACCTGACCAGCACTACCAGTTACAGTCCCCATTTCTTCAGCCACAGCTAATACTTGACTATGATTCTCATCTCTCACCTCTTCACCATTTTCACACTGATGCCCAAAAACTTGACACTTCTGGCAGCCAACTGGCCTATTGCAGTATTCCAAGCTCACCTCAAATGGCGGCTTATGATCAGGGACAAGCTTCAAAGTCTCAGGGAAAGCCGAGTCGATGGACATTTCAACGCAGACCTTAGGAAATCCCATTCTTCTACCTAGCCTAGTTGATTGATCAAACCATAATGGTTTACCTATCATACTAGCTAAACGAGTCAAGATCCGACCAGTCGCAAATTCAACAGGAAGATCTTGGAAGCAAATCCAAATAGGAATGGTGGAATCACAGTTGACAGCTCTGATTCCAGGAGACCACTGCCGAAGAAAGCACATATCGTTGTGGAAATGCCATGGACCACTAGTGAAGACCCAGTCAGCAACCTTCGCATTCGGGAATTGGAAGAGGAAGAGCTGCTCGCTGAACTTCGAAACCCTAACAATGCCCGAATTTCCCCATAACCTATTCGCCCAGCTCTGCAGCTGCTTCACAGAAGGAGTAGAATGGAGAAATTGACAGACGAGACTGTTCTTCCACCGAGCTTCACCTTCTTTCACTAGTTCCTCCGGGATCCTCAAACCACCATCAACGAGCTCTGTTTTGATATACACCAGGCGATTCGCTTCCGCAATCCCGAACAAATCAGCCCAAGATTGACCAATGGAGACCATCGCAACCGGAAGAATCTCAATCGAGAGGAAGAAGACCACCGTAGAAGAGAATCCGCTCCGATCGGAGGCGCGCACGACGGGAGAGCCGCCGGCAAACTGAAGATCGTAACAGCCTAGAAAGAGAAACTAGAGAGAGAAAAAATGGGAAAGTCCCCTCCGACAGATCGCTAGGTATTATCATTCAAATGACAAGTACATTCAAATAAAATGTGATTGATACTAACACTTTCCCATATATTGCCTCCATACAAGCAATCAATGAGGTGCCAAGGTGTAAAGAAAAGGCAACAAGCAAAAGGACCACAACAAGAAGGAAAATGTATATCCCACATGATCATTGGAACCCTTTTTCCTATTATTCATAGTAACATCTGAAAATCTTACTGACAGAAGTCATCTATATATACACGCCCCAGTTTGTTGCAGTTGGAGATTTCCCTAAGATTGTGCAGGACAAAGAGATGGATGGGGATTGGAACCATTAATTATAAGACCAGCAACCAATAAAAAAGTGGCAAATGACCCCATTCTTTGGCCTCTTGTAATTTGTCCGCACAAGAAGAGACAATGGTTGGGTGGGAGATAGGGTCCAAGAAAAGTTGTATAGGAAATTGCTTGATGGTCATCAAACTCTAACCCCATATACATTTTAATCCTTGGTGTGAGTTTTTATTATGTGCATCTATCGCTTGTATGCTAACACGATATGTAGTTAAACAAAGTAAGCAAAGCAAAGAGTAATGATACTTGCTACTTTCTCTGTCTGTAAGGAGAGACGATTCTACCTTGAATCGGGTTTTTTCTCATTCTAGACATATGCGAAATGAATGATGGACAAAGAACGAATATATTTCAAATTCAAAATTTGCTACTAATCTGAAATCAGACCTAAAGTTCGGTGACCATGCAAGTAATTTACAACAGAGTTAAATGAAGAGAGAGGAAGATGATGATTGGTGGTTGGGTCAACTTCAGGTGGCTAACTGAAACCCAGGTTAAAGGGCAAACCCTAAAAAAAAAACCCAATATAAAAACTAAAACCTGAAAAAAGCCCATCAGAGAACAGGTGATGGTGATTGAGAGATATGTTAATAACTATGTGGGAATAGAGTAGTGAAAAGAAAAGATAGAAAAGGTAGGGAAGTGAAAAAAGAACAGTGAAAGGAATGGGGGAGCTGCAGGAGGTTTGGGGAGAAAGGAAAAGAGGTGAAAGGGCAAGAGGGTTGCTAGCTAGGTTTTTTACTGTTTTTGGTTTTTTACCATTTCCCCCCTTTTCTTTCCAAGTCCTTTTATTTTCCCTTGTGTCACTGTGCCAAGGGACACTCCACCTACTCCTAAGTCCCCCTTTCTTTCTGTTTTGTTTTCCCCCGTCCTCTCAACTTTCACACGTGTGAAAGACCAAAAAAAGGAAAAAGGTATTTTAAGGAGGTAGCTACTTTATGAGATTTTTAGAGCTCATTTTTAACTACTTAGCTTCTTTCTTTCACAAAGTATTTCACTTCTTCTCCTCCTTGTCTTCCCTCTCTGATTCTGTTTGAACTTGTTTTTGTTTTCTTTGGGGGCAAAAGAATTGTTGCTCTTTCTAACAACTGTTGCTGATTTTGCTGTTTTAAGCCTGTTTCTCTTAACACATTTATCATAGCAGATCCACATGTCCTTCTGATCATCTCCTTTCCTGTCCAAACCTGTGTGGGTTGCTTGCTTCTCATCTCTCCTTTTAAGTTAGTCCCCCATAGCAATGACTTTATAACAGTTGCATAACAGCATCTGTCAGACCACAAAGAGACCCCAAAACAGAACCCTCTCCCCAGGAAAAAAAAAAATGAAGCCATGGCCTGAAATTGTTATATATCCACAACCACCATTGCTACCATTCAAGGCAAATGACATTTCTTCTTCTTCTTCTTCTTCTTCTTCTTCTTCTTCATAATCTCCTTGTTCTTTCTCTTCCCTTTCTGCAATGTCCATGGTGAATGTAGACATTGCTTCCCTTTCTCTCAGTCCCAGCAACAACTATGGGAGAGGAGAACCTTTCCCTACCACCTCTCTTTTCCCTTACATCAACAACAAGGGCTCCACTGAGTACACTATTTCGAATGAAGACAATGTTGCTAATGGGACCAAGGAGTGTGGAGACAGCAGTGGGCAGTCAAAGCTATGTGCAAGGGGACATTGGAGGCCAGCTGAGGATTCAAAGCTCAAGGAACTTGTTGCCCTCTATGGCCCTCAGAATTGGAACCTCATTGCTGAGAAGTTGGAAGGCAGATCAGGTAAATCCCAAAAAAAAGGTTCCTTCTTTTTGCTGTAAAAAAAAAAACAACAACCCAGGTTTCTTTTTCAATTTTTTGTGAGAAAAGGCAGTGACTTTTTTGTTTTTTGGTTGTGGGTTTTTAGGGAAGAGCTGCAGATTGAGGTGGTTTAACCAGTTGGATCCAAGGATAAACAGGAGGGCATTCAGTGAAGATGAGGAAGAGAGGCTAATGCAGGCTCATAGGGTTTATGGGAACAAATGGGCAATGATAGCTAGGCTGTTCCCAGGGAGGACTGACAATGCTGTGAAGAATCATTGGCATGTGATTATGGCTAGGAAGTATAGGGAGCAGTCAAGCGCCTATAGGAGGAGGAAGTGGGTGCAAAGCAACAGTCCTACTGCTTCAGCTGGTAGAACAGAAGTTGGTGCTAATGTGGTTTCTCCTTACCAAATTGGAGACGACTTCATTAATGGGGCAAATGGAGGAGGAGGAAGAGGAGATGGAGGAATAATCAAAGGTGCCCCTCAGCACATTAATGGAGTTTGTGCTCAGCAGCAGACAACCTTTGATTTCTTTCCTGGTATGTCTTTTTCCTTCCTTCCTTCCCCCACTTGTTTCCCTTCCATTTCCATGTTCTATGTAGCAATGTCTTTTTTATTACTTACCCCCTTTTCCTTTCATATGTATGACTACCAAACCAAAAACTTGTGCTGTCTTTTCTGCTTCCTAAAATATGTGAACATTTTTCTCCCTTGTGGGTTTATGTGCCTGCTTCCTTGATTGGTCTCTTCTTCTCTCTCTCTCTCTCTCTCTCTCTCTCTCTCTCAAAATGCAATTGAAAATGACGAGTGATAATCATATTCTCATCTCCATGTATGTTGGTCCTTGGAACAGTTTCTTTTGTGGTTGAGTGGATGAATCTGGGGATTTGAAAGTTTGTCTTTCTTTGAAAAAAAGCTAGCTAGGGTTACTTTTTTATAACTGTTATGTATTTGTGGGGGCAGGTCCCAAGAACAATGACATGATGATAATGGGGATGTTGAGCCAGACCAGATCTTGTTGGGATCACCATTTCAACCTTTCTTCTCCTCCTTGTGCTTCTTCTTCTTCTCCATCTCCCCACAACGGCAACATCAGCTACAGCTACAGCAACTGTGATATGAATGTGGGTATGCAACAGCCAAATTACTCCTTAAACCATGTGGTGAATATTTGTTCTTCATCAGGAGATCAGCAAGGGAAAGGTGCTGCTACTAGTAATAGTAGTAATAATCATAACAGTAGTGGAAGTGGGCATTTTGAGACCATTGCACCACCATTCATTGACTTTCTTGGGGTAGGAGCCACATAATGAACTTGTTCTCTTTTTGTTTTGTTTTGTGGACAAGGAAAGAAGAAGAAAGAGGCCTTGTTGTGGATGTGCTCCAATATTATTGAGAGGCCATTTGGGGTGGAAAAAAGATGGAAGTTGGTAAATGTTGATAGGGTGTCCTCTTTAAAAACGTTCAAATGATCTTTAGATTCTTTATACATTTGATTTTCTTTTTTCTTAACATATACTCAATAACAAAAACCTAAATGTTCAAATATCCTAAAGCATCCATAAATTCTTTATATTTTTTTTTATAAAAATCGATGACTAATTAATTTAAATTAAATAAAATAATTACTGAAAAAATATTAGACCGAACCAATAAGAATATTTTATTTGACCAAGGTGTAGAACAGATGGTTGTCTTCGGATAGCCGTTGGTTGGAACGAAAAAATCAATTTCGTTTAACACTTGATCAAACCAAAGTAAACTTTCGAGTTGGTCCTGGTCAAACTCAATTTTCCTTTTGACCAGGGTCGAACTGAATGTTGACCTTGGTTTTACCGGGGCCAAAAAGTTGACTGCCCTTCTCCCTCATTCCCTTATTCTGGGGGAGCTCCACGGATAGACTTACGTAGGAGGGATGGCGACGACGAGAGTTCGACTTTTTGTTTGGATTTCAAATTCAAAGTAGGATAGAGTAATTTACATATGGTTATGTAGCTGAATTTGGGCCTGAATTTTGCAGTTCCTAAAGCACCCTTAAAGCATGTGATGAGGTATTTAATGGGATTGTTTGTTTGACCGTAAGATGAAATAGGGAGAAAATCTGAGATGGCATCAGTCTTCTGTTTGATGTCATGACTCCACCTTTACATTTCTTTGCATTTTGGCCTTTGTGACTTATTAGTGTTCTCTCTCACCTCTTCTGACCCTTTGAAGCTGTCAAGGACCAAAGGTGGTGGTGATGATCAGAGCCTGGCTTATATAATTATTACTGACTTGAGAGTACGTACTTGCCACTTCGTAGATGAATAATACCGTTTTTAGTAGTCTTTTGAAATGGTTTTGTTAGCCTTGTTTTAGCCTCATCCCAACATCACCAGTACCATTTAGTAGTGGCAGCATCACTTCATTTTTGTTCAATCCATTCGAGTTCATATACGAAATACCTGAGAACTAAAGGAGGCATTTCCCATGAATTCAGAAGAAGGAAAACCGGGGAAAAAAGACATCCCTTTTCTCATGGAACTGTGAAATTCGCAAACTCGAGCCACTTTCAGATAGGCTTGCAGTTTGCACAGGCACATGTCCGATCGAACACCATGTGGCTAACAAATTAAATATGGGTTACTAGAACTCAAACAGAAGACCTCTTGGTCTCAGAAGACTCTAATATCATGTCAAAAACCAATTGATTTTAATAATTTGAATTGTTGGGAGATGTTCAATTGTGAATCATATAACGTTTACCAACATAAAGGCCTCCCATTCATTACAGAAACTGTTTGATAATAACCAATAAATATATGATATAGTGCTGTAAGTTTGGCTTTGATTTTTTGGTTTTAACGAAACCAAATGGATAAGAACTTGAATGGTATTAGTTTGCTGTTTTAAAATCTTTTAGTATCTTAATGGTTCTGGTTTCGGTGAGAACCGAAGAAACCGATAAGAAACCAAAAACACCCTAATTAAGGGGTCGTTTGATTGTTGGAGTTGAAAATTGAGAATTTTAGGTAAAAATGTTTTTGGAATTTATGGACTGATTGCGTTATGGATTTGAAGAGTTTATTGTTTGCATTGCTACATATATAACTAGTTATAAGAATTTACAAATCCTACTCCAACATTTCAGATTTGCAAGTCTGGGGTTCCGCGAATTTGAATGAAAAAAAAAGACAAATTCGTGTACCTCACGGATTTAACACCCAACAATAAATAATGGACTTGACTAAAACCCATTATGTTTGGAATTTGGGTCTCAAATCCATAACCCAAATCAAACCAGCAAATCCGTTAATCAATTTATCGATTTTTCGGTTAACCAATAAACTCCATATCAAATGGTATGATAAGATTATAATGATCGGAATCTTCTGCTGTGGTGTTAGTTTCATGCAAGCCGGGCAAGTGAGTAAAGTAGCAGTGTTCAGTGTTCTTCTCATTTTTCGTTTTGTTTTTTTCTTTTTCTTTTGGGGATTGATTGCCAAAGGGGCCAATCTCATATGCATGACTAGCTAGCTCGTACTAGTTTGGCAATTGTGTGGGTTTTGTACATATTTCTGGTACGTTTATGTTTCATCATCAGTATCACGATGCACCAATTTTGTTTTTTCTTCTTCTTCTTCTTTATGTATGTATGTATGTATGAGTATGATGAGTGCATACTGTTCTGTTGGGTTGATGACATGATCATATATTCTAACTAATGCTGTACGTACAGTACAGTGTTTGGTTTATTAACCATCATCACAATGTGCATGCCCACCAATATACTGTATCCAAACAACCATGCCAGCTGCTTTTTTTCTGTGTGGGTTATTCTAGTTTCTTCTCTGTTTCTGGATGTGCTGTTCTCTCTCTCTCTCTCTCTCTCTCTCTCTCTCTTCTGTGTCTTAGGCTTTCTCCTCACTGTTTCTCGTTTCTTTGGTTGACTGCTTCCTTCCCAAACCCTAGCTAGCTACACAACAGGTGGTTGCTCGTTCAATTTGAATTGAACAATATTGAAAGTTTTGGTTAAAATATGGAGTTATGATGGAATTGGTTGATTATGAATTAAATAAAGTTATTATTTGCTTATTGGAATTCATGATGTCAGAAACACGTTTCTCGTATTATTATTGCTATGGATATTCGATTAGTAGGTTTATGGAGATTTCATATTAGATTAGTAGGATTTAATAATTACTTGGTTATTAAGTCATTCACTGGATTTAGCTTATAAATATGTACTTTGATATTTTCGAAGATCATTAATAAGAATAATATTATTGCAGAGATTATCCTCAAACTCTAATCTCTCTCAATCCCTAAGATATCTTCTAAATTCCTTCTACTATATCTGGGTACGAGTAATCGTCGGTGTCTAAGATTCGTGTTTCCTACAGTGTATGAGAACTTTGTTTGTAGGCACCCACCTCATAGCCAGTGGCGGATATATGGTGCTTTACGGGTATCCCGGGACACCCCTAAAATTTGGGAAAATGATTATCCAACCTTGCAAGATTCATGATCTGTTTTGGAAAGGGGCGAGTGTGGATCCTGGTCCGGGAACAACGATCTCTCTTTGGCACGACAACTGGATCCCTGGGAAGTCGCTGGAGGAGGTCTTTCCGCGTGCTGCTGCTGCTGCTACCTTCCCAAACGCAAGCATCTGTGACTCTGTGTCCATAGCAGGTGAGTCGAGGGTGTGGGATATTCCTTTTTATATTAATCTTCGGGGTAGGGCGGAAATTGAGAGACTTTCTTTTCTTGGTGAGATCAATGCTAATACCTATAGAATATGTAACAGCCCTTGTCGGATGGTTTGGAACCCGGATACAGATTTTTTGTTCTCGGTCAGTTCTTGTTACAGGTGGCAGGTGGCAGAGAGGTTTCCTGGGGTGGATAACTTCCAGCATGCTGCGGTTTGGAAGAGTGTCATTTCCATAAAGATTTGTGGCTTCATCTGGTTAGTGTGGCATAAAAGAATTCTCACAATGGACAATCTGAAGAAGCAAGGATTGGAGATGGCAAGCAGGTGTGTCCTCTGCTTCAAAGAGGAAGAATCGATTAATCATCTATTGGTAAATTGCAGCTACACCAGGCAAGTTTGGGGCGAGGTGTACAACTCCGGAACTCTTCCCGACTTCACTTCTGAAGATATTTCTGACATCATCAACAACAATTCTACTAATCACATGGATGGTATGGAGTCTTGGTTTCGTTACTGTGCTGTTCATGCAATTTGTTGGGAATTATGGAAAGAAAGAAACAGAAGGATCTTTCAAGAGATAAGCTGCACTCCTAGGGTGATCGCGAGGAAGACAGTGAGAGGAATTATTGAGTGGATTTTGGCTCACAAAAAGGTCGACAAAGATAAGGGGATGGAGTTTTTGCAGAGCTGGTCTCGAAGAGGGGATAGTAATTGATGGGCTCCGCCGGAGATTGAATTCTCTGCTTCCTCTGATTCTGCTGTCCGTTATCTCTTTTTCGTTTGGATCTTTTTGCTTCTGTTTCTCTTCCCCTTCCCACTCCTTCTTGGGGTGTCCATTTCTCTGTATCTATGAACTCTTGTCCTCTCACGCCTTGTGGGATTTGTGTGCTTTGTTTAATAAAGTTCATCATCATTATCAAAAAAAAAACCTCCGGTAGTAATTTCGTATGGATAAACAAAATATAGTCAGTAATCCGGGACACCACTAAAAATTGAAAAAATGATTATCTTATCCTCGATAGTAGTTTGGTATGATTAAAAAAAAATGAGTGGTAGTCTGTGTTATTCAAACCTAGGACACTACTATTGTTAAACATATTCTCCATTGGGTTATAACTCATGTGTTGTTCTATTTTAAACACTATGTAATAGTAAAGACACGATATTCCCAGGGGTACCTCTAATTTGAATTAATTTTATGGTTACACGGAGTGTTGAAAGAGTATTTTCAACTGAGTTACATCATAAACAAGGTTAGAAATTGAATATGCGATCAGTTTGTGAATTATTGTCTAGTAGGATATACAGATATGTTGAGCAGTGTAGACACAGAATCTATTTTATATTTTTTCGAAATATCTAAACACATCGTGACTTTTTATTAAAATTTGTACTAATCGGATATTGTCTTATTTATGAATTATTTAATTTAATTTTTGGAAGAGGACACCCTCCAAAAAAATTCTGGATCCGCCACTGCTCATAGCCATGATGTGTTTCGAACAACTCTCATTCAAAGAGCTCGTAAGGGCTCTCAATCTTGAGCTAGCAGCGGCATCGAAAAGGAACAAAGAATCCCAGGTTGTCGCGCCCCCGCCGCAAAATAAGAATGATGCACCGCCGTCGAAGAAAGAAGAGTCGCTAGCTGGTCCCTCGCCTTCATACGAATAGAGGGCGCAGGGAATCACCACTGCCACAAGTTGGTAAAATGGCAGCCTAACCATAAAAATGGAGCCTAAGGCGTCATTCTGACACTAAGCCTGCTGATCAATGCTTCTTATGAGTTACTCTATCGGTAGAGTAAACCCTAGCTAGTAAAGATGTCTCTTCAAGTGGTGGTC